TGCAGCACTTGTATACATATTATGAGACTTTTCAGTCACAAGCGCTTCTTTTGCCAGTTGCTTTAGCTGCATTTTTTAGTAAAGCTCAACTCTACTAGAACTCAAGAAAATGTTACCTTGTCGTTTGTAAGTGCATAATGTGAAGCGACTAGTATCATTAGCTAGCATGGTAATTGTTTTAGAGTGTTCTTTGACTGTTGGCAACGATATATTTAGCTCATCATTGCATTGACTAGAAAGGGGTTATTTAGAGAGAAAAAGGAAGGTTGTCCGAAAGTTCTGTCCGTTATTGAAATCATCTTGATTTGGAATGCTACGGCTTTTCTTGAAATCAGCATTTTTGAGGATTTGGAATTTGATTCAAGCAAATTTTGGCCATAAGGAGATACCCAGACGTACATGGAACGCCGGAAGAAAGGGAAGCGAAAATTTTGAAAATTTGCAAGATTTCATTTGAAACCGTTTGATAGATGCAGCTGGCCAAATTGACAGCCATGCTTTATTTTTCCACTGAATAGCGTTGGCCAAAACGTATCCATATGTTCCTCCTAGTAAAAATATCCTTATGGGCGGAAAAACCCATTCCGACCCCGCTACTAACAGGCTTTCGAGTACAGACTGAGTCCTCGCCTGCACTTGTTTCCATTGCCTACAACATCGAACCCATCGCATATCGCTCAGGGTTATTTCATACTGCCGCACTGACAGGGCTCGGCACGAGGTGGCTAGATGAAAATGGAAAAAACGAAGTCCCCCTTGACTTTTGGGAATTTTTACAAAGTCCCCTTTGACCCTCAACCAAATTTCCTCTAAAAACCTGAAAAGTTCCCCAAAAATCCTCCAAAAAACGAAACGTCGACTAAAAAAAAGTCGCCAAGTCGCCAATTTTGGTCTCCCTTCGGTCACAAAAACGAAACCCCCTTTGCTTTTTGTCCCAAAAACGAGATCCAGCTTGCTTGTAAGCCACCTGTGCCGCGCCCTGCGCACTGACCGCAGCAAAGTGCAGCTGACTGCACTGACCGCAACGGCCGCACAGATCGCTGCATCCTTTCGTAAAAGAGAAACCAATGACGATTACGTCAAAAGACCGTGATTTTTTAGAAAGTTCATAGGTTCTTACTCTTCTTAATCAAATTTTGGCGATTGTTTTTCTTTGGTATGCTCACATTTGTTCCGATTCCTCCTGTCATTCCATTGTTTTACTTGTGTTGTGTTTTGGGGCCTATATTGATGTTGACTGTCTGGGCTACCACTATTTATGCTCTCCATCTTTACGAAAGGATGTAGCAATCTGTGCGGCCTGCGGTCAGTGCAGTCTGCTGCGGTCAGTGCAGTCTGCTGCGGTCAGTGCGGCAGTCTGAAACAATCCTCAGATATCGGCACGAAGTGGCCAGTTGAAAATGCAAAATATGAAGTCCCCTTCGCTTTTGCGAATTTTTACGAAGCCCCTTTGACCTTAGACCATAAACCCTAAAAAATCTCCAAAAAACGAAACGTAATTCAAAAAACATCGCAAATTTTGTGTCTTTTCGCCCACAAAAACAAAACCCCTTTTGCCCTTTGTCGCAAAAACGATACACAGCTTGCTTAAAGCAACTTGTGCCGAGCCCTGATGTCGCTGTGCTCTAGTTTGGCTTGTAGAATGGCTAAAGATAGCTTTGGTCACTGACAACTCCAGAAGGCAGTTAGAGTGTAATTTGCATACAAAATCATACCTTTTATTACATTCAACAAAATATGTTTTCAAGCATTTGAGAGTTCAAAGAATCAGATCAGGATTTCCAAAAAAAAGCGAAAATGAAACTTTTATTCATTCATAATTTGCCCTGTAACTGAATAAACTCAGAGCCTTTCTGGATTTTTCTAAGCTGGTGTTGTAGAGGACAATTTGCACTATCACAAAAAAGCGAAAATGAAACTTTTATTCATTCATAATTTGCCCTGTAACTGAATAAACTCAGAGCCTTTCTGGATTTTTCTAAGCTGGTGTTGTAGAGGACAATTTGCACTATCACAAAAGTTTCTAGTTTTTGCAGAAATGGTTCCTTCGAAATAAGAAAGAAATACGAAATAAGAAAATATATTTGCGAAAAATACTTGCGTACGAGCAGTAATCTTATGTGCAAAATCGATTATTAGACCCCAGACACGCAAAAGCTTAGGTAAAAAACAGTTCTGTATTCGCGAGAAATGTAGGAGAGCATCTACCCTAATTTCCTAAGTCGCACACAGGAACGCCAAAATTGCACCAATTTTCAGTATGCTGCCTCTCAACCAGAAAAATCAGAAATTCTCTTCGAATTGATTTTCAAAATTCCATACTTAGCTGTATTAAAGTCCAAGGCTTGCTCTACTTTCGTACGCAATTGAAAAGCAAGAAAAAAGGTTATTAAAAAATGTTATATAAATTCTCATAGTAATGCTTGCGTACGTAGTACACTGCGGTCGGCGAGAGAAATTTGGATTTTTTTGAGAGGTAAAGCACCTAAAATTTTAAGTCTGACTATTGCATTGCGATAATGACCTTTGCACCCAAGGAAACACGCGCCGGTAATTTTGACGCACCCCTCCCTCCCCCCCCCCCGGGCGTGTATATTATATTAGCCCAATAGTACGTTACTGCCTTTGCATATTTATAGTATACGCTAATGATTAGCGCAGTGTGGAGATATTATGACACAAATACAAGCGAATCCAATATCAAGCGAAACTGCCCTTTTGCATAAGGTTTGCGTTTGAGATGCGCAACAATGAGATTTCTGTTGAAATTTAGTATATGCATCGAAAAAAGCGAGGGAATCGTTTCCATGGGGTACATATGTTAGCACAACAGGATACGTTCGAATTGATTTTTAACATTTGATTCAGTAGTATCTAGTTTTTTTTGAAGCCTCGGGTATCTCTACACCTAATCCGATCTGCCACCCTGCAAAATTTTTGTTCATACTCAGCCCCCTTCCAAAGCACAATAATTCCCGATGTCATTGTATAAGTCACTAGCTGGTTTTCTCGGTCCATCCCGGGTCATCATTAAGGAGGATGGAAGAAAACCGCAATTTGTTTGCTCGTTTCCGTCTTTTCCGTTCGCTTCAGCCTCTCCATGTGAAGCTATGCATTTCCACTGTATTCTGCTCCCTTTCTGCTGTCTCTACCGCACTTAAAGCCCACCTTTTTTTGTCTGCACGAGCTTAGTTCAAGACGTTTCTTGTTTCGAGAGAGCACATTTTCTTCACCGGGAAATGAAAATGAGCTTTACTGCCATTGTTTACATCAGAATGTCCAGCAGGTTTGATAGCGGTTAATAAAACTTCGTTTTGATTCCTAGTTGCCAAAAGTCGCTAAACTGATAAAGAAAAAAACCCAACGAATCGCTTCAGAAAGTAGTCAAAATCGTCTCCGAAGTCGAAAACATTTGTGTTCGACTTTTAGCTCAATTAGTTGAGCGGAGCGCGTTTCTGTAGCGCACATACCTTTCAAACGAACAATTTTTGAGTGATATACAGGGTGTCCCAAAAGTAAGTACACACTTTTCAATCGTTAATATCTCTCTTCCCATTGTGTCTTTTTTCGCCATCTAAGCATCATTCTGTAGAGGAGGCTTCAACTTATATTTACAGTATTGAGCGAATCACCGACCGCTCTTCATCACTGTAGGATAACTGTAGAATCTTCGACAAGGATTTTTAGGCCACTGGAGGCCATGTCTGCCTCGAAACAAAACCAAACAAGCTAAAAACTCTTATACTAAGGTAGTGAAAGTTGCTGATTTCAAATATGAAATTTCCGCCATGCTATGATGCTTCTTTCTAAAGTTATTCCAGGTAAACCGTGATATCCAAATTTTCAATATCTGTCAAAAATGTGATTACACCATCAGAAAAGTTGGAAACACTCATAAAAAGTTGTGTAGTGGGATTAGTGTGCGCGAAAACCTTAGTACACTATTTTTCAGATTTTTTGAAAAAAATGTCGTCAGATGGCATATTTCACAATAGTTCTACTCGCTGGAAGTTCTTACCGTAATCCTACAGTGATGAAGAGCGGTCGGTGATTCGCTCAATACTGTAAATATAAGTTGAAGCCTCCTCTACAGAATGGTGCTTGAATGGCGAAAAAAGACTTATTGGGAAGAGAGATATTGACGATAGAAAAGTGTGTACTTACTTTTGGGACACCCTGTATATACAGATATATGGAATTTCACACCCCTACATCACTTTCAACCCCCCCCCCCTTCTCCCACATCTAACTCTACCTCTTCCCTTGTAGACTTCCCCACGTGTCATATCAGCCTCATTCTCTTTGAGAGCAACAAATTTACAGTTGTCGAGTACAAACTCAAGAATTCAAAATCGTGCAACAAGATAATCAGGCGCCAGTTGGGGTGGCAAGCGATTACAGAAACATAGTTTTTTCCTTTCCTTACATAATTTTTGAAGCTTTTTTGCATAGCTATCTCTACTTGAATTCATAGAAAATTTTCAATTGCCTCAGCTCTGCTTTCCGCTTAGTTACAGCCTTCAAATTGTAAATGATGGCGACATTCTGCATCAAGCGTGCGATGGTGCATTGGTTAACATCAGGAATTCTGTTCATTCTAGCGTTCGTTTTGTGTTCTTCTGTCTTTCTTCTTATATTTCCTTCTTTCACGTTTCTCTTTATAAGCTTGTTGTTTTGTTTTGCGAAATCAGAGTGTTTTCGAAACTTTTGGGGCCACCTCGTCGACCTCGTCGAGCCTACCGGTTGTTGAAAATCTAGGCTTGACGAGAAAAACAAGTATGGTGAGACAAGTAGAGCAGAATTAAATTATCCTGACTGGCCAAATCCATCGAATTTCGCATTTGCACTCGTCAAAACTAGGATATAGGGAACAACAACTTCTGTGCTATAATTCTGCAAGTAACACATATAATGCGTGCATTAGCACATTAACACCGTCATTCATTTTTTTTTCTTCATTGGAATTTATCCTGAAAGAATCCATTAGAAGAACCGCTATTTCAGACTTGAACAAATCAATGTTGCTTGCGCTCGTTTTCGCGTTCGTCTGTCCGTTGTACGGTACGTAGACGAACTGAAAGAGCAATTTTCACTAATTTTCTCTAATATCACATCAGTACGTCACCCTGCCATTTAAATGCCAATTTTTTGTATTTGTTAAGTTCAGCTAAGATACCACGGAGAAGACCATTCAACATCATAAACGCAACGGAAGCTGATTGCAGATTGCCGGCTGACTTAGGAGATGTACACTGCCATGGAAAACCTGAACGCAGGGAAAGATTTTTTAGTATTTTGTTTAAAAGAAAAATTATGATTTTAGTTTTTCTTTGATGTGGAGACAAAAACGTGCTTTCCTTTCAAGTACACTGGATGCGGCGGGAATAAAAACAACTTTGTTGAGTCAGCCCAATGTTATTGGGCGTGCGCAAGTAGGGTTTACTCCATTTTTTCAAAAAGGACCAGGCTTTAAAGGCGTTTCACAACATCATAAATGCCAATGTTCTAAAACAAGCTTTTTCAAAGCGATGTGCTCTCTCTTTGCTTTGAGACCCCGTAACTTCAATGAACACTATAGGCCATCAACTTCAGTCCGTGCGAGTCCGGACTCTCTTAAAGGCAGTGGCTCGGCAAAACCGAACGCGAAATTTTTAGATGAAGGTTGCCTCCCAAACTCAGAACAGAGTAGGTCCGAGCGCACTACATGCTGCCCCTGCTTAGAAAACCGCTCATAAACTCGTGCGCGCAAGCCATTCTTACACGTCGAGAATTTGCCGAGCCACTGCCTTTGAAGCAGAATGCCAAGAAAAGTTATTGATGTACACCCAACCTTCGCCGTACAAGGAATGTTTCAGTTGCTTCGGCCTGAAAATGGCTACCTTCCCACTATACCGTTATTATTCTAAAGCAGGAATGTTGTGCGATTGCTTTAGCCAATCACAATAAAAGAAAATTTCCAGTTTTCAAAGTCCCAATTTCCATCTACTCAAATTGATTCGATAATATTTCGCAAATTGATCTTAATATATAGAAACCAATTAATTTTCACTAATATCTGCGACTGTTATGATTTTGGCGTGGTTGTAAGTAAGCTGAGAGAATTTTCTTTTATGTGCATTCAATTGATGAACAGATTACTTAAATAATTGAAAAACTCGTTTGATCAAGTATAATCAGACATAACGTGCTCTAACCCTTTAAACAGTTGGATAAAGGTCACCGACCATTCGAATATTCAAACATCTTTCGATTCACATTGGAAAAATGGCAATCAGGCGTAATAAAGTAGGTTGTTGTTTGGAAGTAAAGTTTCAAATGTCGAAGTTCGGACTCAAGTGTGCTCTCCAAAATCCAATGCACGAGGTTCATCCACAATAACATTGCCTTTTTGCTCAACGAATATTACACTGCTATGCAATTCTTCATGTTAATTAGTTGGTATGATGTCTTGGGAATTTTTTAACCCCGTTATTTTCAGAACATTTCAACCACTGCCAGGGAAAAGACAAATCTTTTGGCAAATGCAATGGAAGTAAAGACAAATGTCCTAATGGAACAATATGCTATCATAATGGTCCCTCGAAGCCGAATGAGGCTGATTGTTGTGATAAAAAAGCCCTCGGTGAGTAAAACAGCGCATTTAACTACACACAAACACCTACTTGCTAGCGACCACTCGAGCTCACAATGTTCGTTTATGCATAGAACAATGAAGATTTCCTTTTTTGCTAATTCCGCTGCAGCGCTTCTCGCGACGGAACGATGACGATAAGAACTTTGCTAATTTTTGAGAAAATAAGTACAGAATGCTCCAAAAAATGTGCTTACTGTTTTGTTAATGACTCTCTTTTCATGCAATTTTTCGGGAAGGATGAGGTACCAATTTGTAGAGCTGGCCAACTTAGAGTAACAGTATGGAACGAATTACCGGTCTTCCTTCATTACTGGATTATTACGGTAGGAACTCGCAGCATTTGGTGTCAGTGGGAGATGAACCGTTTAAAAAATCTTTAAAAAATTGAAAATTCATGTTACAAGGTTCTCATCATGCTAGTGTTTCACAACATAACTTTTTGTGTATTCGTAGAGCTTTTTAAATGGCCTAAGCAAATCTTCGACAAATACCACCAATCCATCTTCAACTTATATACGGCCGGAACTATAAAATAAAAGCATTACGGTGAAGTACGAGTTTCATACTTGAACAGCGACACTGATCAACTTACTATAAGATTCAGCTTTGTTGTCCTTTTTTAGAGCTAAGATATGATCCTCAATGATGCAAAACTCTTTACAAAGCTCTTACCGTATTCCCACAGTAAAAGAGAGAACGATAATTTGCTTCATTCCGTAAAGCCAGTTAAAGCCAGCTCTATAAAATGTACCTAATGCTTCACGAAAGAATCAATGGCAAGAGAGTTATCAACAATTAAATATAGGCACATTTTTGGTACACCCTGAATAATATAGACCACTCCAACTATCGCATTTAGTACCACACTCAGGATTTTCATTGTCTTTAGTTGAATTAATACCAACGAAATTGCTACTACTCGAGACATTATCAATTTTATGCATAACTGAAGGGAATTATTTGGGTCAGTCATGCAAATAAACTTTTGAACTTTATGACGTAGGTCATTCAAAAAAAGTTGCTATTTGGATTTTTGATAAGGAACAAATGCACGGCTGCAATCACCTGTGATGTAATGCCAGAAGTTTCACTTCCTTTCACCTGAATCAGAAGCTTGTAAAAATTCAAACTTAGTAAAAGTGTGATAGGTTATACAAGAAAAAAGTGACATACGCGTTACTTCATATATCATTCATTCTCTGACTTAGAGACGCGAGCACGCTTACAATATTACTTCTTCAAACACAGTGTCTTACAGTAATACAGGTGTCAGCTCAATTGGGTGTTACGGACGTCACACATTTGACGCCTAAGCCGGCGCATTTTTGGCCCGTAGTAAACTCCCCGTCAGCGCATCTCCTCCGAGGCGGGCCTAGGTTGGCCTTACGGCGCCTCAGTGCGGTGTCAAACAAGCCATCGATCCGAATGCGGATCGAATTGTAGGCATGATAGAAACTGCACGTTCTCAAAGAAAAAGCATCTGTCTTGACTGTGCGGGTTTGGCCAAATGGCTAAAGCTAGTGTAATACACGCGGCAGCACCAGGGTTCGCGCCTGGCAGGTGCCGGCATTTTTGCTATATCGCCGGGGCAGTCTTTGATAGCAGCCACTATCAAAAAAATCGATGGTGGGCGCTGTCTTTGCTGCGCAAACGAAGACATAAACTGGATACAATAATTTGCATCAAGATCTACAAAAAATTATGATTTTTGGAAGAGAAAAAAGAGAGTTTTAGTTCTATATCAACCATCTTTCGAAAAATGTAAAAATTTGACCGACATAGCCCAAGCTGACGCGAAATATGCAGAAAAAACTTGATATCCCATTTTTGCTGCGATCAGCTGTTCATTGATCATCCCCATCCGTATGCCACCCTATTTGTGCAATTTCGGGCACTGTCGTCCGCAGAATCAGCCAGCTGACGTTTCCCGTAAGTTACTGACGAGCAACTTACGGAAATTATGTCTGCGTCTCCCTGCAGACACGCTATCTCCATAAGCCAGGCCGACGGCGACGGCTTAGCTTAGGGCAGGCAGCGCAGCTCATTGCGGCAGCTGACCGGCCCCTTGGCTGTCAGCTCATCGCCCATTCTTAATGCACTGTAGCAAGGGGGATCGTAAGATTAGCTTACGGATCTCTTCTGAGGGGGTCATCGCAGATCATCTGAGCTGGGAGGAAGTTTACTACGGGCCTTTATCTGTACGATCAAGCTCGATGATGGATAGATAGATAACTAGATAGTAAACTTGATATGGAATGTCTGTTCGATGGCATTTTCAATTAGCAAGGTTCAGTTAACTCGATCTGAGTTTTGATTGGGAGTTTAACAAAGTCCACGTTTTCAGCTTCTAAAGTCTCACCTGAAATGTACGTGACTGTTCGCTTTTTTCACATAGGAGGCGGTTATCTGTGCGTGACAGGCTTCAAGTTGCTTTTTACTTCCTTTCGAGCCTGAAAGTCTACCACACTCCCGTCGTCAAGGTCTATTGAGTCCTCAGTCACATGACAAAAAGGCTGCCCGTATTTCTCACGACGTTTACCTTCACGATTTGCTTAGAAGCACAGGTAGAGTAAGTAGTGCTTGTCTGTAAGGGGTATCAAACTAAGATTTCGCTCACTATGAGACAGAAAACCGTTCTTTTTCATGGAAAATTCTCAAATCCTCCAGAAAAACCACAAAACAAGAAAATCTAGGAAAAATATACAAAAGAATGCTCTTTGAGGCAGCCATGAAGGACCAAAGACAAGTTGCAAACATGTAAGGCTGCGAAAAGATAAGGGAAAAAACGAGGTTCAGGTGTCCCCTTTCACAACTTCTCATTGATTCTGAACGATTGCTCTTGAATGGATAGGTTGCTGTGTTCTCACTTACCAGCTGACAGTCACGTTCCCAAGTCCTTTCAATTAAACTCCTCTTCAGAAAAAAAAAGAACAAGGAGGTAACCGACACTAAGTGAGCTTTCAAATATAAGCTCCTTCAATCAATTTTTATATTATAATATGCTTGTATATTGATCTGTATGTAATCTCTGCATCTTTCGAGCGACTTTCTTCGAAGGTGGAGTTCGTACCTGAAAGTAAAACACAAACACGAGTTCGTAGAGACTTGACAGGCTATCAGGACTTTTGAATGCTGCGGGGATGTCACTTAGAGCGGAGCGAGCTTTTGCAAACAGCACTGATTTGTGTAGAAGCTTAGCCTTAAACCATGATGGCATCCCCGGCTAAGCTACAGCTAATGCATGTCAAGCCAGTAGAAAAGAATACACACTCGTCACATAAAAAATGACAAGTCCGGGTTATAACGTTTGCAAGTGACTGCCAAGAATTTGATTGTATCATGTGTAAATCGTCATGCAAATGATCGTTAACAGCAAGTCCTTTTACGATGTAAGCATTGTGCATTTCAAGCAGTTCGTAACTTTTAGAATCAGAAGTGCGTGTGAGGTAAAGCGTCAGCACTCGTTCTCAAAGACGAACTCGCGAACTTTGTTTGTTTGATACAGTACTAACAAGCATCCAAATTTAGAGCGCCACCACTTCTATCATTCAACTGTTCTAACGAAATATTTTCGCGCAGTGAAGCCACCCGATAAAGTAGGCGTCAAATGTGTGACGTCCGTAACACCCAATTGAGCTGACGCCTGTATTACTGTAAGACAGGGTGACTGAAGAAGTAATATTGTAGCACGCTTTGCGTACGTTTTATTAACAAGTTCCAACGACGAGTTTTAACGCGTTTGGTTGATTTGCTGTTAGAATTAGTGGAAAAAATATGTCTGAGCCCGTTAATTCACGCTGGCTTGAACACGTTCTTTCACTAATTTCTTATAGTAATTTCATTCATTTCATTTATTACATAGGATCAACCTATGTTGAAACAAGCAGTCAAGTAATAGTAGAAGGACCCGTGTTAGTCATAATAATGGTGCCGGACTGCAGATAACTCTTCAAGATGGTCGTGAACTGAGATAATTGCAGGACAATCCTTTCCTGATGAACCTGTCCATATCAAAAACAGCACGGCAAAGTGAAAAAGTTTCTGCGGACCTTTAATCTGGACCTGGAAATAATCAACTTACGATAGCCCCCCCCCCTCCTAATGGAAATTGTGGTAGGGAAGAATACCTTGAATTCTAAGCCACGTTTACCATATGCAATCGCGCCATTATTAGGTCAAATTTGCGTCTTCTATAGGTAAGCGTGGAGAGGTTAAGATTATATTGCGTATCTTACCACTTGGTATCAAATCATAGATATAGCCAATCTTGCGTATAAAAAGATTGGGTGTGAAAGTATTCTGAACCTTGTCAATGTAATCAGCGGTTTACGTACATATGGATTATATATTACGGTGCCATATTCCAATAGGCCTTATAAAAGATTTATATGCTCTCAAAATTATCACGGTACCGTTGGTTGAGAATGATCTAAATAAGTTATTTACTGCTCTAATAGCTCTATCTGCTATTGCCTTACAATGATCATCAAATGTAAGGCTATTTCTGACTGAGAAGTCGAGGTTCTTCCTAGGTTTAGAAGAAGCGGACTTAATGCGCATTACAAAAGATCTATCTTCAAGAACAGCGTTGATCCAGGCAGTTGCGAGGATGGATGCCCACCATTGTTAACTTTTTTAACAGTTAGCATGGGGTACTCTGTCAAAAGCCTTAGAAAGTTTAGGTAAATGACATCTGTATTAAATCCATTATGGAAGTTTTTTGTCCACTCGTTAAGACATTGCAACATGGCCGTTGAAGCAGATTTTTCCTTTGAGAACTATGTTGAAAAGGGGAAATGATTCGGTTTTTATCCAAATGCATGACAATGTATTTCTTCAGTTTTTTTCAAAAGGCCGAGTGAAGATAGATGTGATACTGAAAAGGTGAAAATTTTTTGGAGAAACGAACGGCTTTATCTTTGGGATTGGTGTGACATAGCAAAAGCGCCACCTATGTGGCACTTGTGCTTTTATAAAACTAGGTTGAA